AAATTTTTACAATGTTATAAACCAATGTTACTGCAATAAACAAAAAATTAAAAAATAAAATAAAATAAAATAAAAAATAAAAATGAGAAATGTTTTTTGGGTGAGACTGAAGTAGATATAGGGATGCGTGGAGGCAGGAAGTAAGAAATGGTCATTGGTTGTGAGAACAGTAAAATCTCTCCGATGGATCAGAAAGGCTGTTTGTTTCACTGATGCAATGAAGAGGAAAAATTTTCTAGGAACCTTCCTAACTCTTTAGGTTTCTATCATTGATTTCTCACTCTCACCAAACAAACTAGTTTATAACATAGTACTAAGTTGTCTAAATGTTGAAGGAAAGTGGTTCCTTAAGATAATAAAGCATGTTCTGCCCCCTGACTCAATGTTCATTTACTTTTGCTAATGATCTATCAGGGCTGAAATGCGCAGATGAGCCTGAACCCTTGCCCTGGAATGTAAGCCCCACGAGGGCAGGACTGTGGTCTGTTGTGCTCACTACTACATCTTCACCAGATTGTGCCTGGGGCACATAAAGCGCTCAGGAAATATCTGTGAAATAAATGGATGACTTAACTAAATCCTAATATTCTAGTCTTTGCTCTATAAAGTGAAGATAGACTGGGCGGTGGGCATTTCCGTTTCATCTGATTTCCTTTTCTGTTCTACTTTTCTGGCAGCCTTAGATAATGCATAACTGGGATGAATGAAAAAAAGAAAAAAGGGAAAGTATCTCCAACCATTGGGGCCAAAAGGAAATAATGTTGAAGCTTTTACAAAGCGTGTGATTGAGAGGAACCGGGTTTTGTTCACGGAATTCCCAAAAGCAGCACTACAGAGTCAGCTTTAAAGTGAAAACAGATAATTTTAGGACAAAGACTAGCAAGTGCAATTACCCCAGTGGGTGGATAACAGAGGGGACCTGGTAATTCCTTAAAGGTGGCAGAGACTGAGGGCTCTAAAGTGAACTCATGGATGTTGGTTCAAGCATTGGGTAGATCAGCACATTAAGAGAGGCTAAGAACGACCGAGAGGCCTCTCGGAACCCATGCTGAGAGCAGACTTGAGCATGTGGTGGAGGACCCCAACAGGAACCAACCTTCCTCACATGCATTTCCAGGTCCCCCACCAACAGGGGCTCTGGCAGCCTCAGCAGAAACTAGGAGTGAGTACCTGAGCAAATGACCCCGGCGTCCTCATGGTGGCCACAGTTGTGGATGAAGAAGCCCCGGTGGTGGCATCTCCCCAGGTTGGTCTCACTGCCCGTGCACTGCACATCGTCCAGGAAGATGGGGCCGGAGCTGTCACCAAACAGGCTGCTCCCCGGGGCCACCAGGGCCATCCCGCAGCCCAGCTGCCGGCACACCACCTGGGCAGCGGGCAGGCCCCAGAGGTCGTCGCACACGGTCCCCCAGGTGCCGTTGTGAAGGATCTCCACGCGGCCCTCACACCTGCTCTTCCCGTCAACCAGCCTCACCACGGGCAGATCTGCGGGAGCCAAGAGCCAAGTGGGCTTGAGAAGGTTCCCTCGATCCTCAGACGAGACAGCGTTTCCACTTAGAGAACTCGAGCGCGGTCTGCAGTGTGCCATTCAGGCAGCATATGTCCACAGGAAACTATGTATGCCGAGGAAGTGGAAGGACTGCTTTCTGTGTCTGAAATTTAGCACAAACTCTACAATGATTTTCCTCACGGGGCAGTTTCTTTCTGGGGACACAGGCCGCATGTTGGCTTCATAGAGGACAACACGGAAAAAGAACCCTCTGCTTTCTTCCTCTTTTGGGTGTCATTTCTCATATCGTTTCTCTAAAAATTCCAAACAATTCGGCTGAATGCTTGGAGTTCAGACTTCATATTTCTAACCTATGTCTCTCAGAGAATATTATAAAATTCTCAGAACAAAATTAATTTAAGTTTCCTTGAGTTAAAAGTTGTAAAGTATTGCATGGGGAGGAGGGAGGTGGCTGGGGTTGAAAAGCAAGCAGAGGAGGAGACGGTGTCGCTGCCGCGAGAGCGGAAGGAACTGGCCAAGCGAAAGCGACCCCTGAACCCAAAGCTGATGAAGGTGCTTCTCAGATTCGGAGCCCCAGAGACGGGGGCCGGTTCATGGCGTCCTCTCTGAGAAGGGCCCACGAGAGCACTCTGTGGGTCAGGCCTTAATAAAAGGCCTTGCAATGACGCTACTGAGGGTGGCTGGGTGCCCTGGCTCTCCCTGAAAAGGTCCCTACCCGGGGAGAATCCACCACATTACCCACTTGACTCTAATGATCATGACTTTCAGTCCTTACAGCACCAGGACCATGCAAACAACGCTGGCTACCCTTCTGTTGGCTACAGTTGGCAGGGCTCCTGCCTAAGAAAAACAGAAAACATAGGAATGGAAAAAGTACCTATTGGATGGAGAACACGCGGCTGTTTCCCAGGAGTTGAAGAAACTATCCATGTAAGGAAGAAAAATAGTCATCATAAGTACCTTCCAAACAAGCACAATGAAATTTCATTCTCTTCTCAAAAACCATCTAAATCATATGCATGAGTTTGCCTTTAAACAATCCCATCCAATCTCTAATCAAATAGTTACCATTTAAAATGTGATGGCAGCTTATAAATGCGTACAAATTATTCTGATTAAGAATAAGAAAGCGAAAGAAAAAAAAAAATGGATGTTGGGATTGTGAAGACACGGCCCCACAGGCCCGGGGCACCTTGTCAGAACCACAGAGTTCAGCTGCAGCATCCTGGGCCCCAGGTGGGCTGCAGGCGGAAGAGCAGTTCCTGCCACAAGGCCCACCTGCCCCCAGACCCTCCTGCCCTCTCTGGCCTACTACGGCCTCTGTTGCATGAGCCATCGCCTCAGGTCAAGAACTGGTGCCTCAGAGTCCTGCTGAAATGCAGATCTCATGTACAGAAGGGATGACACATCAACCTGTTCACACAACACCCAGAACAGCCTTTCCTCTGGGTGCAGAGCAGGGCCTCATGGGAATGGCAAACAGCTCTGGGTCTTCACCTTCTGGGAGGGTGGAAAGGTCTGAGCTCAGAACATTGTCAAGGAAAGTTAAGGCTGGTAAGGGAGACCCAGTGTGGGGACCCCTGCACTAGACGGCTAGTCCCCACTCAGCAGATGAAGTGGATGTGAACTCACAGAGACCCAGATGTCCAGCAGCTGCAGACTCTGCAGAGAAGGAGGAAACATGAAAGTACTTCAATAATAGAAGCCAGGGTGGTGGGGTGGCTCAAAGATCACTGTCTCAGTTTAAGTGGGACTCAACAACCCTGGTAAAGCACTGTTCTTAAGCATCTAGGGCTGTCCCCTCAGGGTTTTTACAGCCTGGTGGGGATTGTGTCACCTGGATAAAAACTCTGAGGTAGTGATTCTGACAGAATTTGCCTTGGTAACTAAAATACTACCACCAACAACAAAATAGTTCACATTTTTGTGTGTTTATGGTGTTTTATATACTTGACTAAGTGTTCTATGTGGAACGTCTCATTTAATTCTCCCAAGAACTTCATGAGATAAGCACCATTATTTTCTTTACTTTACAACTGATGAAACTTGTAGACACTCACGTTGAATGGTGCCCTCCCGCATATATTAAACAGCTGGCATATTTTTCTGTTCCAGAATCTAGAATCTAGAATCTGCTGTTCTAGAAATGGGGGAAGGTTTAAGGCATGGAGGCATTCCAGACTCTCTCTGCAAATGCCAGACTTGGCCTGAGTAGCTCCATGACTGGCCCAGAAGACACCTGAGCTCACGGAGCAGATGACACCAGCATCTTCCTGGTTCCCCCAGTTGTGGGTGACCCAGCTGCCGTGAGGGCACTGTCCCAGGAGGACTGGCTTCCGGTGCAGTTGACATCGTGCAGGAGGATGCTGCCTGAGCCAGGGCTGAAGCTACCACAGCCAGGCCACAGCCAAACTGCCGGCAGACCACTTGGGCATCTTCTGTGGCCCAGTTGTCATCACACGCTGTGCCCCAGGTGTCGGCGTGGTAAACTTCCACTCGGCCAGCGCACCTGCTTGACCCATTCACCAGCCGCAGGCCCAGACCTCGGTGGACATTCCAAACAATGACCTCCATTAAGGCTCATCCAGAAAGGCCACCAGAAGTGCCAGTATTTCCTGGAAATTGTGCACTGATAATGGCTAATAACAAATCTACTCCCTCCTTCATTTCATTTTGTGTCTTTCATTTCACTTATTTTTGCCTTGGGTATTATTCAGGGTGTTTTATGAGGGTACCATTGGTTAAGGCATCATTTTGTTCCTTAGGCAGCTGGCCCAGAGACCCGCATCATTGCATCGCTGCCCCTTCTCTTCACTGTGCGTCATGAAGCCTTGGTTTCTGGCACTCATGGGATTTGGTGAATTTTCACGAGAAGCTATCATGCACATACTAATTGGGGTGTGTATGTGCGTGTGTGTGTGTATGTAGGATTCTCGGTGTGCCCTTGCACACCTTGCTCAAGTGACAACAACCATAGCTCCTGTCTACGTTGTTCCCAGAATCAAGTGCAACCACAAATGTGAAGATGCTCCAGGGAGTGTAAAGGGTGGTCATTATGGCTGACTCCCATGTTCACAGGGCAGTGTTACAAAAGGCAGCAGAGGCTGGATATGCTCTGAACACAGCCAAGGTGAGCTCATGGTGGGAATGGGTGGAGATCTGGGCTCAGCAGGGTCCCCTCAGCCTTCCTAGGTGCCAGCTTCCAAACCAGTCCCCAAAGCCATTCTTGCATCTCACAGCTTCTTCCCTCTCACTCTCCAGTCACAGATGTTCTGGATGAACCTGGACATCATCAGCCCTTCCTCCAGAAGCAGCCATTGGTTCGGCCAGCCTGAGACAGCGGAGGACTGTGTTTTCGCCAGGGACACTTTCTCCCACAGTGATGCTGGAAGTTTCCTGAGCTAAAACTCTACGAAGGGAAGTTAAGTGAAGAGAAAAGAAAAGATTACCTGTTGATGTGGGCACCTCTGCTGGCTTTGGAAAAGATGCTAAGGACAGATAGAAAAATGAAAGCAGAAAATTATACAACATCTTAATTGTCCAACACATTTACCTCTGAGTTAACTGTCGGTGGCTCTCTGCCTCGTGTCTATGGTTTCTGATTCTAAATAGATTCCCTTCCCCATCCTTTTTCTGTGGAGATTACTCCTTCCAACACCCAACTGGTGTGCACACAGGGAACACAGGCCAGCTGATACAGGCTCAAGAAAATCAAAGCATGGTGGTTGATAGATTTCTTTTTAACAGATACATTTTAAAGTCAAGAAAGCACTCTTCGGGAATCACTGCTGCTCACTATAACCTACCCTCGTGCTTCCTTTGAAGCTTTGGGATCATTTCTTTTTCCCAACTCCTCTCTGCATGTTGTATTTCACTCTTAAAGACACTGCCACGGAAAAGCAGCTGACCTAATTTGTAATGTGACAACTATCGGGCCATTCACGGTTGAGGGAAAGACTAACAAAGGGTGCCTTCAGCTCCTTCATTCTTTACAGTTCTGTCAGGTAGAAAGCAGCACACGGAGATTAATCCCTGCAGTGCTTGGAAGAGGTGGAGCGAGAAGATGATGGCTGCCATCTCAATAGAGTGCCCCCTACTGCCCCACCTGCTCTACACAGAGAGAGCCGCTGAATCCCACCAGGGCCTTAGGAGACAAATGCTGTAATCCCCCTCCTCATCATTATCCAGAGGAGGAAACCGAGGCATGAAGTGGTTCAGAGGTTTGCTCAAGGCCCCACAGCTGGTAAATGATGAAGTCAGGACTACAAATCCGGGGCATTTGACCCCTAAACCACTATCCTCCCACCCAGGGTGACTTTGCCAAGGCAAGTTACAGTTAATCAATTAAGAACAGTTGAAATTACCTGAAGTTGGGTGAGTCACAGATGCTGATGGTGTTGAGTAAGGCCAGGAGGCTATGAGAAACAGAAACCAAAAGGTGAGGGTACGTCATGTCCCTTCATTCTTCTCAAACCCAAGGGGTCCACTTGCTTATTTGAAACAGAAAGGTACATGTCTTGTTTTGAGGAGAAACTATACCTTCTCTGGGCATCTGAGAATGACCCTGAGTTACCATGGTTACAACCTCCTGGTGTCCTGGGTCTCTGGGTTCATTTCTGTCCTGTTGCCGGAAAGTGCAACGTCCTTTTGTGTTTTTTTGGCAAACTGTCCACATTGATGGTCCCCTTGTGTGGAGAACCTATCTTGCCAGTTGGCTTGGTTTTGTAATTCTTGCTGGGTGTGTGGGTGTTGCCTCCGAGAGTAAATGTCAGGTTTCAATGGGAGGAACCATGTTTGTCTCAAGGACATACACTGGCAACTTCAGCACTGGGAGGAGCGGAAGGGCCGGGATGAAAGAGGACTGCTGCCTTGTGACCTTTCCTGTCACCTCTGACCCACCCCCACCACAGCTCTTCCCAGGGCCCTTGGTCCAAACCTCCCTGCTCTTCAGGCCCCCTCCCATCCTCTGATGTCACACTCGGCATGTGGCTTCAGCTCCTACTTTGCTCAGAACATTGATTCTGCCCCTTGACTTCTCTCCTCTCCTCTCAGAACCTTCCAGTACCTCCACCCCTGCCTGCTCTTTCATCCTGCCTCAGGTTACTGCTAGGTCTAGCTGATAAACCAGTTTGCCTCTTCCCAGCCAAACCTAGAAGGATGCAGAGATAAATGAGGGCTTTGACTCCAACTATTGAATTTATTTGCAGAAACGCAATGGGGATAAAACTGAAGAATAGGAACCCTGGGCTACGACCTGGGAGCCCAACTCTGTGACTTTTGGGGAGGTTTCTGTGTTACCTGTGAAACGAGGGGGATGAACCAAAGAGATGGTTCCCAAAAGCATGACTCGTCACTGGTGGGAAGTGAGATAATATGCTGTGGTTCATCTTCTATTTTAAGAGTTACATATCTATTGCATTGAAATTTAAAAATTTACATTTAGTTCCATTCTGATCAAGGATATTTTCAGATATGCATGGGTGTGAATTGATTAAACAGTTCACTATTTATTTTAATTTTTTTTTCTGTGAGGAAGATCGGCCCTGAGCTAACATCTGCCAATCCTCCTCTTTTTTTTTTTTGCTGAGGAAGACTGGCCCTGGGCTAACATCCATGCCCATCTTCCTCTACTTTATATGGGATGCTGCCACAACATGGCTTGCCAAGAGGTGCATCAGTGCGCGCCCGGGATCCGAACCGGCGAACCCCAGACTGCCGTAGCAGAGCGAATGCACTTAACCACTTGCGCCACTGGGCCGGCCCCTTATTCTAATTTTTAAACATTTTAACATTGTTTTATTGCTGTGTTTATTTTTATGTATTGTCTATTTGTGGCAAGCGATCCTGGCTCTCCATTTATGGTGGCGATATACAGTTTCCTTGTAAAATGAATGCATTTAAGTGAGAAAAGAAGAGTCGATGTAAAGGAAAGCATTAACATCATAATGTGGGTAGTAGGTGGGTGGTAGATGAGTGGTTAGTGGGTGGTCGGTGGGTATGGCAGGGATCACGCAGGGCCATCTGAAGGCTGAAGCTTGGGAAACAGTGACACCGGCACTGTCCAGGACTTCCCTACTGCAGAAGACTCACAGAGCCAGAATGTCATTTCTCCCACCCCCTGCCTCAGCATCAGGCCCACCTGAGCAGATGACGCTGGCATCTTCGTGGTGACCACAGTTGTGGGAGAACCAGCCACTGTGCAGGCATTGCCACAGTCTGGCTTCAGTCCCCACACATTCCATGTCATCCAGAGCAATGGGGCCCAGGCCTCGGCCAAAATGCGCCTGCCTGGGGGCTAACACCGCCCTGCCGCAGGCCAGCTGCCTGCACACCACCTGGGCATCACGCAGGTCCCAGCTGTCATCACATATGGTCCCCCAGCTGCCATTGTACTGTAGTTCCACGCGGCCCTCGCACCAGTGGCTGCCGTTGGTCAGCCTGAGCGCCACATCTGGGAGACACAGACATGCCCACGTCACTGCTCTGGGGGTGACCCCTTTGCCACAGCCTTCGAGGAAGACCTGGGCATCTCCTCTGAGCCGACCAGCTCTCAAGTCTCCACTCTCCTATAGGGGAGGGAACCACTGTGGGTTAAGGGGGCTGCAAAGGGGTTTTGGGTTTGACCTCTAGTGTCAGTGTGACTGACTTTTGGGGGGACTAGGATTGTCTACTTGACAGAAGCTGAAGGAGGCCCCCTGAAAGCCTCGTGTGAGGTGGGAAGCCCCAAGCATGCGAACATTGGCTGTTGCTGCTTCGGGTGAGGAATAGTGTTCTCTAGGCAAGTGAAAAGACACTACACGTGCATTTTGAATGAAACAGGCTCAAGGGCAGCATCAGCCAACCCTTTCCCAGTACGTGTGAGGCGCTCTACTATCAGAAGGTGTATGCAGATGTGTGGTTCCACATCTGACCACTTTCTCCAGTCAGAACTTGGGGGTAAACTAAGGAGTTGGGGAACCCCTTTCAAGTCCCTAATGCCCAGGCATAGGGTGGGCCGTCCAACCTCGCCATCAATACCAAGCAGGACCAGGGGCTAAGATGACAAAAGGACTTACCAGTACCGTTCCCGTCTTGCACGAGAGACTCATAGGATGCATAAAAGCCAACACTGGTGACGATAGCATCGCTGTGGAAGACCACTGTTAAGCGATTTGAGGAGGAGGTAAATATTGGGGTTCTACCAGAACAGAATCTTCCCAGAGAAAAAGATTCGTTTTGTGGGCCATCAAAGATTTCAATGAAGTCGTACGGACAGCCATAGAAGTTTTCCATCCTGTGAAGTAAGGATATCATTCAGACTCAGTCCACTGGGGCTTTTTCCCAGTAAGTCCCACCCAGATTAGTTCAGGAAGTGTTCTGGAAAAGCTGTCTGAAACCTACATCTTTTCACACAGGTTGGCGGAAATGACGACCCTATTGACTCGGGCAGTATGTACCCTGTTTCTAACAATCTTTTAATTTTTAAAGTTTTCATTCAATTGTATTTTCTGAATATGTATTACAAGTACAAAGAATATAATTTAAGTGGTATTGACAGGTATTTGGTGAAAAAAAAATTTTTCTCTCACCCCTGACTAGTCCCCTCTTGCTTCATTCCCCTTCCCAGAAACAGCTACAATGAATAGTTTCTTTCTGGAGGTGGTCTATGCGCAAATGGCAGCGACTCTATCACTGTCCATGGTTATCTTGCAGATCATTCCACAGCAACACAACCTACGTGTGTGACAACAACATATGGATGTACCAAAATCTGCTTAACTGATCCCCTCCTGATGAGCAGTTAGATTATTTCCAACCTATTGCTGCTCTAAAAGAATGCTGCCATGACTATCCTCAGTGCACATGAGCCTTTATCTGTGGATTAAATTCCTGGAACTAGAATTGCTGGGTTAAAAGATCTGTGTATTTAAAATATGATCCATGTTACTGAATGGGCCTCCAAGGCCCTCCTCACTTTTGAAAAAAAATCACTTTTGAGAATTAAATATGGAAGTTGGGTTTTTTTTTTTTTTTTTTGGTGGTGTCTATAACCAAGTGAAGAAGACAGTAAACCTAGGAACTATGTACTCACTTCACCACTTCAAATGTAAGTTTGACATGAGCCCTGATATCCACTTGTATGTCCCAGGCACATACCACATTTGTGGGGTATTTTTTAGGGTACCAAGGACTGGAGAAGGAGCCGGAACTATTTGTGAGCAAACCACCACAGTGGAAATTTTCATCTGCAAGAAACAGTGAAGAAACCCCATTAGAAGGGCACACTGACCTCTACGGGTGTTTTTGCAAGGGTCAGGAGGGGATGGAGTGAGGGCAGAAAGAAGAACTTGTTCTGGGGCTGCTTCTGCTGGTAACTGACAAAGTCGGCTTTGGAGACTCCTCTGAGTTTCCGACGCTGTTCATTGTCAGATAAAGACCGTTACATGTGCCTGTCAAGCTTACAGGGTTATTGTGAGGGGAAAATGAGAGTGACATATACGGGCTTTATGAACCCATGTGCACAGATAAGTCTGAGCATGGGTTTTAATGAAAATGATGCAAAGACGATGCAGCCAAAGTCTCCATTCTCGGACAGTGTGTTATAAAACAGTGTGTATTAGAAGATCCTTCATTGTATTATATACAAACTGTAGCTGCAATCAAGACCAAGATTACTTAAAGCATCCCATTCATGGCTGAAATACTGGATTTGGTGTGGAATTTGTTAAAGGCCTCTCTGTGTTGGGGCTTCTCACATGTAAAAGGAAGAAAGAGCAGCCACCTAGTTGCTGGAAGTGCTAAAACTGAAAACAAAGAAAATATTAAACCACACGAAGGGTTTAAATAAAGCTGAAGTACCTGTAGGGGGGCTGTCCTCAGGCGAGCCTGTGAAAATACACAGAGAAAAAACGATACCGTGAGCAAGGGCTTTGATCCAGAATGCTCCTTTAAAGCACTCAAAAATATTGACACTCATAGCTGTGATTTCTCTGTGCCCCAGTGAACAGAGAAGACGCTGCCCCTGGGGTTTCTATTTCCTTGCTCCTCCCGGCATCTATGGCATGGTCATCACAGCAAGCAGTTAGCCCTCTGTTCATAGCAGATACTGACTCAGGGAATCCCAGGGGCCCAGAGATTGCATTTCGGTGAATCTGAACTCTCCTTCCCTCCTACCTCTCTTCCCACCCTCTGCTGCCCCCAGCCCCACCATTTTGTCGACGCTAGTGAGCTGCATTGCTCTTGTTAATTTGCAACAGAGAATTTATGTTATTGACTGTGCCCCAATTTCAGGATTAAAGAGTAGCCAGGATTCACATACATCAGGGAACTGGCAACAGGTTGAAAAGTATGGAAGAGCCATACATGTTGGTCCTACTTTTGGATTGCCATCAACACCTACTCAAAGATAGAAGACAGAGTGAGAGATGGATTGAGTAAGGCAGTCACATAATTTAAAAAAAAATCAGGTACTTTTTTAAGGATCAAACACATTCTATTCTAGGCAGCTGGGATTGTGGTATCAAAACTCACGAATGCTGGTTAAAGGTTGGCAGCCTGTGGCAGCCACCGGGTGAGAGACTGCTTTTCAGTCTCGTGATGGCTAGCTGCTGGAAGTGCTAAAACTGATAATATGGTATTTATTTACTTTTGGTCAGTTACAGGACTGAAGGAGCTTTAGTAACAGAGCCTAGCTCAGTCTTTCACACAGTACCTTGGAGGCACACTTACAGAGTACGGGCCTGTGTGTGATCTTGGATATGCCTTTGTTGTCTCATCAATAAAATGAGGGTGCTAAAGTCTGTACTTTATTAGAGGTTGTGCAGATTAAATGGGAACATGAATGCACTGGTTTTAGCACAGATCCTGGCACGTGGTAAGCACTCTTTGGACACCAGTTACTATTCATATTCAGGAAAGAGTGCAGTATCGCCAACACCACGGCATGCCTATCCAGGAATGGATGTCTGATGATACAAACCCTCTACTTAATCACCACAACTTTTAAGGCGGGACTTTGAACATTTTACAGACACAACAATTTAAGAGGAAGAAAACTAACTTTTAAGCAAATTGACTTAAAAAGATGGCTTAAAGCCCAGGGCTCCTTTCTGAGTAGTTGCCTGCTGGTGTTTACTTCTTCCTTCCCAGAGGTTGCTGGTGGTTGAGATTCTGTCTCTGAAGTGTGCTGTGTCCCATGGAGGCTCACCTGAGCAGAGGACACTGGCGTCCTTGTGGTGCCCACAGTTGTGGGAGAACCATCCGTTGTGCGTGCATTGCCACACCTTGGCTTCGTTCCCTGTGCACTGCACGTCATCCAGCATGATGTGGCCAGTGCCTCCATCAAAGTAGCTCTGAGCTGGGGCTGACAAGGCCTCACCACAGCCAAGCTGCTGGCACACCACCCTGGCATCCATCAGGTCCCAGCTGTCATCGCATACTGTGCCCCAGGTGCCGTTGTAGAAGACCTCCACCCGGCCCTCACATCTGTGACTGCCGTTCACCAGTCTCAGGGACACACCTGGGGGACAGGGAAACAGGCTTCTGAGCTTTGGTGCTGTCTCCACTTTCTAGGACCTTCTGCAGATAGAGAATGCCCAGCACTTGGGCACATTTTCCCATATTAGGCTGTTGGACTCTGGGTATGGTGGCCCTGTGTCCTGATTTGCCTGGAATAGTCCTGCCTTATGACTATTGTAGGCGAATTAATGCCTATTAATTATTTTAGAGTCTCTTTTAAACTCTCATAAGTATCCTGATTGGAGGATAAAGTATATGGTCACCCTAAGCATAATCTACTGAGAGCTCTGGAATGTTCCCCATATCCTGCTGCAGAACCTAAGAGGTCTGTATAAGTGTTCTGGAGGGTTTTTGTATTGAATTTGGCTGGACACAGGTGGGCTGGTAGTTGTAGTTTGAGATAGTTTTGTTCCAGAAGGAATTGCCCTATTGCATTTTCCCTTCCTTCGGAGAAGAAGGAAGCTCTCATTTTGGTCCTCCATCTACACACACAGCCAAGCAAGATATGAGTTTCAGCCATCTGTTTCTTCAGCCAGGATGTTTTGGTGGAAGAAAATGACAGTGAGAGGCAGAGCAGGGTGAGGGGTGGGTTGGGGTCTGTTAGTGTCATAGTGGATGTCACTCAGGATGTCATTAATGAACATGTACACGCGGGTCAGATTTAGAAAGCATCTCCTCTCTTAAAGGGAAAGGACACAAATTAGATCTAACTTCTCTTCTAAGTAAGTATTAGGACACCTACCACTGTCCCTCTCATCTTGCTGAACGGCATTGTACAGAGCATAAAACCCTGTGTTGGTGATCATGGCGTCACTTCGGAACACTGCGGTTATGATGTTTGAAGAGGAGAGGAATGTGAGATCTGACCCAGCACAAAATTTGCCCATGGAGAGTGAGGCAACTTGCCGTCCATCGAACACTTCAATAAAGTCATAGGGGCACCCATAGATGTCCTCTAATCTGAGGAGGCAAAGGCAGAGTTAATCTCCCCAAGGAAATCTGCAGAAATGTCTTAAATAGAATTATCATTTGCATCGCATCCAGCCGGAAACTGCAATCATCCCTGCCACCTCCTTGCAACCACACATTCTACTAGTGGACTTGAGCCCTTAAATATCACTTGGACCTGCCCTCCTGTCCTTCCCTGTTGGGACTGCCCAGGTCAGGCAGCCTTTGATCATCTTTCATCTGGTCTATTTCATCAACTTCTGAACTGGAATCTTGGCTTTCAGTCACTCCCACCATCTTCCTCTCAACCTTGAGTGTCTCCTGAATGTCCCCTGACTCTTTATTCAAACTCTGCCACTCCTTGAGGTGGTGGCAAGTGTCCACTAGGGTCTCATTGGGTAAAACTCTCAACAAGTCCCAGAGCAGGGAGAAATGGTGACAACTGCAAAAGCTCTGAGGGCCTGTTGAGTAGGGGTCTTTCCTCCAATAACCCAAATTGGTTCAAATGAAGTGTTTTCATGATATGTTTCATCTAACCTGGATGATCAGAGAAGCTGGCCGCGATCATCCTGCCTAATGCTGTCTTCACTCCCTTCACTCTCTATCATATTACCATATATGCATATATTTTTTTCTTCATAGCACCTATCAACTTATCACTAACTGAAATTGTCCATTGAGTTACTGGTTTATTCGAGTACTATATATCTCCCCATCTAGAATGTAAACTCCACGAGGCTAGAGATCTTGTCTGTCTTGTTCACCACTGTAAGCCCATTTCTAGACCAGGACCTGCACAGAAAACAAGTTCAATAAATATACGAACATAAACATTTATCTAACTCAATAAAAATGTGAGATATGCACATTTACATTTAAACAACAGAGAATAGCCTTTGATGCATGCATTATAAGTGCTCATTGCATAATAATGGACACAATTATATTTGTGCACAAGCTACTGAATTTGAAAACCTGTTTATTGCCGAACACATCTGTTCCAATAAAGTAAGAGCCAAGTGCCTCAAAATAACTCATTTTTAAATTAAGAAAAAGTGATAACATTCGTGTGTAAGGTGACAACAGTGTGGCAGTAACAGGTGACACTGTAATCTGAGAAATCATTTCATTAGAAAACAGGACATACTTCACTTAGCAGGAATGAAATGGCATATTTTAAATACGGATATAATTTTTACAAATTGAGTGTGAAACAAATCTCCATAGAAGCTGAAATAGAAAAACTGAAGCAACTGTCAGTGCAAATCAGGGTTTCTCAGCACTATCGGCATTTGGAGCTGGGTAATCCTTTGCTGTGGGTCTATCTTGAGAATTGTAGGACAATGGGAGCATCCCTGGCCTCTACCTGCTATATGACAGTGGCACCCTCCCACTTAGGATAATCAAAAATGTCTCCAGACATAGCCAAATGTCCTGTGGGAAGGTACAATCATTACCAATTGAGAATCACTGGAGCAAATAACTAACTTTATGTCCTAAAAAACAAAAAGCAAATATCAATAAATCTAGACTCAAAAACTTCGAAACCTGGAAATCAGCAACTAAGTTCTGGCTCTGGGCAACACATTAAACAGCTCCCTGATTTGTGTACTCTGAAACTATGGTAGGAAATTTATGTTGGTATAATAACCTTGAGATTGCAGAGAGTGTGGGTCATTACAGCTGCTTGGAATAACCACTTTCCAGAAGTGATAAAATGATATTCTGTGCCCCAAAACATTAGAACTGTGAATTTCATAGATTTGAAATATATGGTACCAAATCTTCTCACATTGCTTTCAATAAATAAATGAGTGTGGACTGAATGAATGAATGATAAATACAATTTGCTCATAATACATAATGATCACTGATATTAGTTTGTGTCCCCCGTTCAAAAAGAATTTTAGCCATCATGTAAAACTAATTGAATCCGTCCCTCACTTCACTGCTGACCCATTTTACATCTGAAGGCAGCATTTAACCATTCAGATCCTCGTCTGCCGTGGCCAACAAACACAGATGGAAAGCAGTGGCAGAGATCTGGGACAGATTGTGTGATGATAACAGTAAGAAAGAATGACCCAGACATAACCCAGTATAGAAAGATTAAACCAGGGTTAAACGTTATCAGGAAAAGTAATATTTTCATTAAAAAGATACTCATGTTTGTGTATATGAATATATATGTATATATACATGCATATAAATATGCATTAAAATAGGAATGAATTCCTTTAAAAATGGGTGATTGTTGGAGAAAGAAGTAGGAAGTACAATGTGTATGATAAGAGGAATGAATGAACTGAGGCTACTTAATCTGTAGAAGAAATCTTAGCAGACACATGATAGAAATTCTTGAAAGGAGGAGGAAACAGATTTGTTTTGTGTAGCATCAGAGGAAAGAATGAAGATCAGAAAATAGGAGTGAAGAAAAGATTTGGGTTCAGTCAAAGGAAGAAGCTGTGTCCCAAATGGAGCTGGTTGAGAGTGGAGGGGTGAGGTCTTCATGGGTGGGTCACCCCAGCTGAGGCTCCCTCAATGGCCTGGTGTCAGGGATGCTCGTGGGATATTCTCCAATTGTTTAGGAAGTTGAGCTCAATGACTATAAGACTCTCCTAAGCTCAGATGACCAGACCAATTCTCATCTAAAAAGTGCAAGTTTTTGTCACACAGTGCTGTAGGCTGAATGTTTGTGTCATCTCAAAACTCACATGTTAAAACCTAAACGCCAATATGATGGTATTAGGAGATGGATTCCTTTGGGAAGTGATTAGGTTATGAGGGCAGAGCCCGAATAATGGGATTAGTGCCCTTATAAAGAGGGCTGAGAAAGCTCCCTTGTCCCTTCTGCCAAGTGTGAGGTTATAGTGAAAAGATGGCCTTAGCAACATATTTTCAAGCACCATGTCTGACCGGGCAAGAGAAACAATAGAAAAAATAAACAAATGGGACTACATCAAACTAAAAAGCTTCTGCACAGCAAAGGAAACCATCAACAAAATGAAAAGACAACCTAACAATTGGGAGAAGATATTGGCAAACCATACAGCTGATAAGGGGTTAATCTCCAAAATATATACAGAACTCATGCATCTCAACAACAAAAAAACTAACAACCCAATTAAAAAATGGGCAAAAGACCTGAACAGACATTTCTCCAAAGAAGATATACAGATGGCCAACAGACACATGAAAAGATGTTCAAAATCATTAACTGCCAAGGAAACACAAATCAAAACTACTATGAGATATCACCTCACGCCCATCAGAATGGCTATAATTAACAAGACAGGAAACATGTGTTGGAGAGGATGTGGAGAGAAGGGAACTCTCATACACTGCTGGTGGGAGTGCAAACTGGTGCAGCCACTATGGAAAACAGTATGGAGATTCCTCAAAAAATTAAGAATAGAACTACCGTATGATCCAGCTATTCCACTGCTGGGTATTTATCCAAGGAACTTGAAAACACCAATGGATAAAGATACATGCACTCCTGTGTTCATTGCAGCGTTATTCACAATAGCCAAGACTTGGAGGCAACCTAAGTGCCCATCAAGGGACGAATGGATAAAGAAGATGTGGTATATATACACAATGGAATACTACTCAGCCATAAGAAACAGTGAAATCCAGCCATTTGTGACAACGTGGATGGACATTGAGGGTATAATGCAAAGTGAAATAAGTCAGAGGGAGAAGGTCAAATACCGTGTGATTTCCCTCATTAAGTAGTAGATAATAACAACAACAAACAAACACATAAGAGACAGAGTTTGGATTGGTGGTTACCAGAGGGGAAGCGGGGAGGGAGGAGGGCGAAAGGAATAATTCGGCACTTGTGTGTGGTGATGGGTTGTAATTAGAATTTGGGTGGTGAACATGATGTAATCTTTGCAGAAATAGAAGTATAATGATGTACACCTGAAATTTATACAATGTTATAAACCAATGTTACTGCAATAAACAAAAAATTTAAAAAAAAAAAAAAAGGGATCTTGAGATGGGGAGATTATCCTGGAAAGTCTCCTGGATTATCCAGGTGGGCCCAATAAAAAATAAAAAATAAAACCTAACAGCCAATATGATGGTATTAGGAGATGGATTCCTTTGGGAAGTGATTAGGTTATGAGGGCAGAGCCCGCATGATGGGATTAGTGCCCGTATAAAGAGGGCTGAGAGAGCTCCCTTGTCCCTCCTGCCGTGTGAGGTTATAGTGAAGAGATGGCCATCTATGAACCAGGAAGCAAGTCCTCACCAGATACCGAATCTGCTGGTGTATTGATCTTGGACTTTCCAGCCTCCAGAACTACGAGAAATAAACTTCTGTAGAAATAAGCTACAGTTTATGATATTTTTGTTATAGCAGCCAAACTGACTAAGACACATAGAAAGGCCACCACTTTGCGGAAAGCATGGATTCAAGTCTAATCTGGCCTTTGAAGTAGAGGAAGGCAAAGCTGCTTACTTCAGGCTTAGGATGGTCAGTTCTATGTGGAACTTCTCAGCCACGTGGATCACCCAGACACACTCCACGTCGGTGGGGTAGTTTGTTGGATACCAAGGACTGGAGAAGGAGCCCAAGAGGCTTGAAATTACTCCCCCACAGGAGTTACTTCCTTCTGTAAAAGCAGACAAGAGACCTATGGTTGGCTTCTTCAGGCATGCACTTCGCATTCTCCCTATTTTCCCCAGTGTGGAATCCAGAATTCCACCAAGCTCCACGGTGAATTACAGAATGGGAAGGGATCATGCTGGTATTAGACATAGTTGTTCTTGGCTGGCATGTGATTGTACCCCTGGGAGGGAATTAGGGAGGAGGAAAGATGTATGACTGGCAGGCAGGACTCTAAAACCGTAGGTGAGACCGGAAACGGGATTGGATGTACACATGGCGGGTGTGGGGTGTCCAGCTGATGCTTCATGAACGCTCTCCCCAACTTCCTGTCATACAAACCAGCTCATCTCAGATGTAGACAGTCCATCCATTTGCGAGGGCTCCATCCCACCAATTCCTTCCCCTCATGGCTGCCAGGACAGGCAGATGTCTATTCTGCTTTTATGAATTATCAAAGTGGTTCCATCCTTTACAGGTTATACTTTCAATGAAAGAGAGTTACCTTGTGGCATAGCAGCTTGAGGAATGGCAGCTGGAAAAATCAAAACCAAAGAAAATCAGGAAAGAGCTTAGCGTCATAAAATCTCTTATACTTAAGTGACTAGTCCTGTCACTAGTCCTGAGTCTTAATACATGGTGTGGACACACTCATTTCTTTTTTCTCCCTGATCTAGGATGCAGCCTCTTCCCTTCTCTCAGTGATTCACCAAGAAGTCACCAACAATGCACAGTTACATGACTTGTTTTCTCTTATGTGTTAGGGTCCACCAACCCAAGGGCTGTCCTGAGGTTGACCAGTCACAAAGCATCAACCGCAGTAACACCACTGGGCATATGAGCATGCCACCATGCCTGTAGAAATTTATCAAGTGCTGAAATGCAGAAGGACAAAAATCGGAAAGCTGAGAACCGTGGTGGAAAAGGTAGGTTGGACAACACTCCACTGAAGTAAGACGGGGATCAGTGGGGAGCTCTAACATGCGTTAAGGTCCTTTCTTCCTCTTTCATGTGTCGTTTTGGCTTTGATTTCTGTGTAGCATATATTTCTGTACTCTAGGTGTCTCCTTAGTCCCCACTGCATGGCAGGCCAAGGGCTGGGCAGGTTTGGAAAGCCTGCTCCTTGGAAAGCTGGTACTTGTTTGAGTTTTACACTAAGGGTTTAGCAAGGAAGGAGTTTGAAGCAAATGGGTCAGATGCGTATGAGAATTCCTCTATACCCGTTGTCTTTCTCCTCAGGCAGCACTGCTGCAAGGTGAAGAGCAGTCCTTCTGAGTTCTTTGCCAGAAAGAGTGTTGGATATCAGCAGAATGAATTTTTTCTAAACTAAAGTGTCTCAGAAGCATTTTTCTTTTGTTAAAATGCTTCATATACAATCTTTCCCTCAAAGAATTAAACGGCAAAGTCCTTATTTTGTGTGTTTGTCTAGGCAGGTGTATAATGTTCTATCAAGAAGAGTTTTGCTTACAGTTGGATACTATTTAGACATAAATGGTTCCATTCTCCCCCAGAATTTCTTTTATTCCATGACCCATTCTCTTTTCCAGTTAGATGTGCATTCATGCCTCAGAAAAGGGACATTATAGCAGGGAGAAAAAAGAGAAAAGCCTTCTGAGGTTTGAAACCCCAGGCTGCAACAAGGCTTGGGCACAGAGCTCTCTGAGAACCTGAAATCCATGCCCCACCCCCACCATTCCTGGCCCCAGGCTAGGAGAGATCCCTCATTGGAGAAGAAGAGGAAAGGCCAGAGGGAATCAAAAGGAACTTCGCTGCTTCTTAGTCTGTGAGAAAGTGTTCTGCGGGTCCTGCCTCCCCTCCAGGGCTGCTGCATGATTTGTGGGTCTCAGTGCAAAATGAAAATGTGGGGCCTCAGCCAGGGGTGGAGAAATCAATCTCCCACAGGCCCACCTTGCAACCCACACCAGATGGGCAGCCTACAAGGGATGGCGATCTCCACCTGGGATGACTTTGGAACCTGGATTGAAGTAGGTAAGAGGCCTCCACCAAGTGTCCTTCCAAATGCTTCATGGTGGTTCCAGCCCATGGTAGGGACAGCTGCTAGCCACCTTGCCTCACCCCAAAACACCACAAGGTGCATCCCCGACCTTGACCTTCCCCATACCCAGGCCCCCACTGAGGGCAGAGGGTGGCAGCAGTCGCTGCGCAGGGTTGGAGAAGAGGCTGGATGGGGCCCAGTGTGGCAGTGAGCAGGGAACTGGGCAGCTGAGAACTTGTCCTGGAGAGGAAGGTGGCTGCAGGAGGCAGGACCACACATGTCATGATATAGCTGGAATCTTGAGTTTGGGAGGTCACTGCCACACATCGACTTTGAGTAGGTTACCAGAAGCAGGTCTACTCTTTCTCTATTCCTGCTGTGTTGGCTAAGCCAGGAGGCCCACAGAGAAGCCCCAAATGGCTTCACTCCTCACCCTCAGTCTGCTCTTGACCCGCTGCAAGAGTTTGGCATTCAATGCATCGTTGTTTTCTTGCATACTTTCACTTTCCAATCCACGTCCCCGAGACGGAAACTTTTCCACTTTCTCTCCTCTCCATATTGACCCCCTTTTCAGCCATTGTGATGGAAACTTCACCCTTCTTTTCCCTCCTGCCAATACTCACTTTGCCATCCAGAGAGGAGAGTTTTGGATGTCATTTCATTTGGGAAATGTGGCTCTTAGCTCATTGTCCAAGCCACTGGTTCTCAACCTTGGCTGCATGTTGGAATCACATGGGATGCTTTAAGTATTACTGATGACTGAATGTGACCCCAGAGATTCTGATGTGACTGGTCTGGGGTGCAGGCTGGGCATCAGGAATTTTAAAGACTGCCCAGGTGATTCTAGTGTCTAGGTCACTGTCCACCAGTGTCTAGGTCAGGACAGAGGTTAGACTTCTTATTCACTTTGCAGAGATATTAGAAATTCACAGTGACAGACCTACCTGGGGGTGCAGGAGTCACATCTGGAGCCCAGTATCCAGCATCTGCATGCATGAAAAAAAGGTAAATTTAGGAAATTTAAGTTAAAATCTATGAAAGCAAAGAAGTGGTGGTTTTCTAGTGTGGGCATTTCTCAAGCAGGCAGGCTTTGTGTCACACAAGAACAAGGACATGTTTAAATTCTGGAAAAGCACCTTCAGACCTGGGAAAGTTACAGAGAACAGGACTTGCCAACTGTGTGTTTGTCTTCAGAAAGGAGTCAGGCTCTCAGCCTCCACTGTCAACACAGCTGAAGGGACATGCATCTGTCAGGCCACTGTCCTTAGTTTCCCTGGCCCTGTTCTGTGCATGTTCTCCATCCATCACTAAGACGCTGCTGGCTGAAAGATCAGAAAGGACCTGCCGTGGGAGGAGAGGCTACCTGAGCAGATGACACCAGCATCCTCATGGTGGCCACAATTGTGGTCTGACCAGCCGGAGCTAGGGCACTGGCCAAGGTGGTTCTCACTTCCCGAACACTGAATGTTGTCCAGTAGGATGTCTCCAGAGCCTGGGCCAAAGTGGGCCTTTCCAGGAGCAGCAATGGCCCATCCACACCCCAGCTGTCGGCACACGACCTCGGCTTCTTTCAGGTCCCACAGATCATCACACACTGTGCCCCAGGCCCCCTGGTGGAGGACCTCCAGGCGTCCTGAGCACCGTCTGGAACCGCCCACAAGCCGCAGCTCTGGTCCATCTTCTAAACAGAGCAAGATTTTATTTTTGAGTCGGGGAAGTTTGAAATAGGAAGGATTTCTAGCTCCCACATTTGTGGCTAAGGCAAATAAATGCAAGAGCAAAGCCTTAAGGCTGTCTTGATTCCATAATAGGTTGGGGTTAAGGGCTTAAGAGTGAGATAGAGGTGGGTTTAAATCCCAGCTCTACTGCTTCCTAGTTGTGTAAGCTGTGACAAGTTACTTTCTCCCTGGGCCTCAGTTTCCTCATCTGTAAAATGGGGACTCCAGCAGCATGTATCTCAGAGGGCTGTGATGACAAGTCGATGAGAACATGAATATAAAGCACAGCACTCAGCCCCCAGCACAGCTTAGTTCCTGCAGATCTTACTGTGTGATTCTCTGTGTCACAATGCTGGGTTCCTGGGGAAATGGGTTCCCAGTGGCTTTTTTGGACATGTCTTGGATAAGTGCTTGGATAAATGTAAATTTAATCCCCTGAAGGCACCTGGGCCACAAGAGTGTCTATGACTTCATAAAGCCCCATGAGAATGGCTATTTCTCGGCTGACAGGCTGTGGCCAGCTGGAATTACCTGCTGTCTCCTGGAGATGCCCTAGGGACGGCCTTCCTTTACTGTGTCCACAAGATCTGCCACACTGGCCTTCTTTCTGTTTCTCCAACATGTCCAAATCTTTCCTCCCTCAGGGTCTTTGCATTTGATATTCTCTGTTCCTGGAATGTCCCTTCATTGTCATTCATCCCATATCACCTCCTAAGCAAGGCAGTCCATTCCTATTCAATCCACAGTAGCACCTTGTCCACTTCAGGCACTCTTTTCTATCCCACCTGGATCTGTATTCTCAGCTCTTATCACTGTCCCCAAATTATCTTATTTACTTGTTTCTTGTGTCTTGATCCTCCACCTCTCCCCCATGTCCACCCTACTGCAAACTCCATGAGAGAAGGGCACTGTACTTTTTGCTGTGTCTTCAGCACTTATAACTGACTCTGGCACATAGTAGGACCTCAGTAAGTATTATTGGGTGAGTGAATGGTGATCTTGAGTCAATGAATGGTCTGGATTTCAAATGCTGGACCTTACTTAGCCTCCCCAGGATGAGATCTCAAACATGCCTTTGAGGATCAAATACATAAGGAATTCCCTTACTCAGACACAAACACCCCTCAGCCCTGGCCTCAAACTGCATCCAGCAACTTACTACCTGGTTTCTCGGTGACCTGAAAGAGTTACTGGGGCTTCAGTAGGGTCCCCTGAACCTCAGAGTCCCCATAATTGGCAGGTAGTGTGCTTGCTGGGTGCAAATTGGACTCTGGAATGACTGCCTACAGAGCCATGGCTGAAAGAGTCCCCAAGCCCCTCGTTTGGGTGAGTCTAGGGTCCAATGCATTCAAGGTATTAGGTAGGCCAACTGGTGGAGGGAAGTAGATTCTTCAGGAATGTTTGGCTTCTAGATTTCAGCACTCTGGACAGTTACCAGTGGAGAGTAATGATAGACGCAGCTGTGGAGAGGAGCAGTCTGCCTAGTTAGGTAGAGGCTGCACATCACTGCCTATTTCAATTGCCCATGTGGCCTTCTTAGTGGGAAAATCTAGCAGCCATGCAGTGAGGCTTATGGGGCTAAGTGTGGGGGCTTTTAAAACTGAATCCCAGGCCTCTGCTAACAGGGGTGTCCCTCAAATTAGAAACTGTTCTGCCTTTTAAAGACCAAAAACCTACTTGAAGCTTCCTACCTGACTGTCTTTCACCCTGGGGAATCACATTGAACAGAGCATAAAAGCCAGTGTTGGTAATCATAGAGTCACTTCGGAACACCACTGTCATGATTTCCGAGGAGGAGAAAAACATCACAGCTACTGAGGCACAGAACTTCCCCATAGAGAGTGAGGCAATCCTGGGTCCATCGAAGATTTCAACTGAGTCGTAGGGACATCCAAGGACATCTTCTAATCTGGGGGAATCGAAGTGGAGGGTGAGCAGCAGCTTAGAACTTCCTAGATCTTCAAGCTTGGAAAGTACGACCATCATAGGATTAAGTATTTGGATTACAGGTTAAATTGCGTATTAATACATAAAATATCAATTAACTTTTTTAGATAATAAAAGATGTTCTTTTATTATCAGAACTATTATTTTCTTTGTCTGAGGAATTTGTGAGGCTATGGTTATAACTTAGTAACAGAAACTTTAAAATCATAAGGGTTTTGGGCAATCACAACCTACATGGAACATTAGAAAGTGCTAATGTACACTGGAAATAAATTCTTAACAGTCAAATCACCCTGATGATCAGCATGTAATCAACATCACAGCCAGATTTTCCTACTTCTATATTTTACAAAACTTTCCATACTCAAATTCTTGGGGAGAAAAAACTTGATTTTAAAATAAAAATAATGTCACATATAGAAGAGTATTTGCACTTTAGCAGTTATTCTCAAGGGATGTGTATGAGGGGGATTTTGAAGGCATAGACAATTGATAACATAATAGACTTTGGAGCTGTGAGTTCAAGTTTCTCACTTCTTTGTGGGCTATCTGTGTCCTTAGGGTTTTAGTAAACAAAGATAAAATGTTTCTAGGGTATTCTTTGGCATAGGCATGTCTGACTCCATGGACCAAGCAATAATTCCATGCATGCTAAAGGTGGATTTTCATAGCATTTCACAGTATTGCTGTGTTTGTAGCACGATGTGTGTCACATACAACAAGAAGAAGAGCTTTGTGCAAACTATGCAGTCTATGCTTAAGAATTATGTATTGGTGAAGAGCTAGGTCTTTGACATAAGACAGATCTAGATGAGTTAGCCCTGGGCAAGTTAGTTAACTTCTCTGGGGCTCAGTTTCCTCATCTCTAATGGGGATGACAAGGACATCCATCTTAGGGCTGTAGTGACACTGGAATATGACAAAGGACATAGTACAGAGCCTGGGCACACCACAGCACTAAAAAATGTCAGCTATTATTTTATGTCATGGAGATAAAAAAATGGCAGTGACTTTGGAAAATTTATTCTATTCATGTTGAAGACGAGGCAGTGACTCTAGTGTCTCCTTCCACTTTGAGGCAACATTTGGAAGATGCAGGGCCACTAGTTTGCTAATGTGTGTGAATGGAAAGCCTCTCGTTATTTGTTTAAAATTTAGAGAAAGGAAAAAGAAAGTCTAAGAGGATAAATATTGTACCCAGTGTACAAGAAGGGCAAAGCTGGTAAGGAGGATTTTGGTGATATTTTTAGAAAAATCAAAAGAAAAACTGTCAAAATAAGGTTAAGTCAAATACGTTAATAAGTCACTTACTGAATTTTTCAAGTTAGAAGTAACTCATTGGATAGCACTACAAAATTAACCTAAGCTTCAACTTGGAAAGAATTTTGCGTTCTTCTGGTTTCACCCCTAAGTGTTTCCCACTAAAAGAAGTATCTTTGCTATGATTTCAAAACCAATATCCTTATTTAGATAGAAACTTCTCTTAAAAAGTTGTTTTCTTACTTCAAACTTGGGATCATGAGTTCTATGCGGAATTTTTTATCCACATGGATTTCCCAAACACACTGGATGTCTGTTGGGTAATTTTTCGGATACAGCGGACTGGAAAATGAGTCGGAGAGACTAGAAATGACTCCTCCACAAGAGCTACTTCCTCCTGAAACAACAGGAAAAAGATGTCAAGATGTGTCCTCATAGCATCACTGTGTGATCCCAGTGATGATCAGAGGCCTGGTGGAGTCAGGCGGCAGTCCACCTGGGTGAGCACACACAGGGCTGTCTGAATAGATCTTTAGCCTAAACGTCTCCTGGAAAGGAGAATCCATTCAATCTAATTCTGATGCATCAAAAAGTACTAATGTGTGAGAGTTCTCTGCCCTCCTCTCTCCTTCTACCATCTGATAAAGAAAATATTATATTTGTCCAATCTCTTTACTATCTCCTCCCTCTTTCTAAGTGGAGGGATTCTTGCTTGTTGGGTGAGAGACACAAGAGATCTACATGAGAGATAGGGAAGGAGAGGCAGAGAGAGAGGCTGTGCGTGCCAGGGTAAGGGGTGAGTTTGAGGTTTGGGGAACAAGAGGCTCTGGAACATCTTTGGGGTCTGCTGAGCTGGAGGCAAAGGGAAAGGGGATGTTGTGGACTGTTTTGGGAGGTCTTGACTGGGGCTTCCCTTTAACTACTTTTTCCTCACTTTTTCTGGGTAGATTGTGTTTCCTTTAACTCAGTATCTACTGAGACTGGAACTTACAGGTTTTGGGATCTATAAGAGTTAGACAAGTGAAATCTAATTCTTCCATTTGAGTTCTCATGTTAATACAAATAGGTATACATTTACACATACACATATATATTTAAAGCAGCATGCCACATGAAAAAGTGGAAAACTTAGATGATTATCTTAGAGGAAAGTTGAAAACACAATATGCTTTATTGACCTTGTCCCTAAATTATGAAGTTGCTTAATTTTCTTCTTTCTTTTATCCCCTGACCAACCTGTAATCCTCCCAGAATCCCACAGATTCCTGGTCTTTCCTGCGATGAGTGGCGGGAAGTGGTGAAGCGCCCAGTCATCCCATAGCTCTATTGTTGATTACCTTTGTGGGTTACAATAACTGGGCGAAGTCAGACTGACGCTGAAACTCCTGGGAGTTGGATTTCCTGAAAACTCTATGTGTGGCAGGGGATGATGGACTGGGGCCCATCGTGGGTGCCCACTACAGGACTGTACCCAGAGGAAGCAGGCTAACTATAGTCAGATGGACTGCCACATTCTCTTCAAGTCACTTGTCACTCTCCTGTCTAATCTGACCTGGGCAGATCCACATGCCCCCTTCCCAGCCTGCTCCTTTGGTTAGAAAAGTCAGTATTTACAGGCATTAGAAGCACTAATGCCATGCCCTTTGGCAAAGCTGTGATGAGCACTGAGGGGCTCCTCCAGCTGAGGTCCTGACTTCCTTGGCCTTCTCATGGAAGGGACCATGGCAGGACTGGCATGGGCAGCAGAGAAGCAGCCCCCATCCATGCTGTGCAGGTCTCTTTATGCCACATCCTGGGCACACCGCCTAGCATCTACTATGATGGTTCTCTTGGCTACCATTTGGGAGCTGCCATTTTGGTTTAAAACAAGTGGCTGCCTGTTATATGATCCTGAGAAACTGTAGAAAGACCTAGAAGGGAAAAAGGGAGAAAATGAGGACATCCAGGGGAAAAATACTTACTCTCATCTACAAGTTAGTGAAATGTAAAGTGTTTCCTTAGAAATGTCAATGTACTTAGTGCAAACTAAGAAAAAAGTCTGAAAGTGTTCAGTAAGTATTCTCTACAGTCCTGTGGCAGATTAAAAAAGGCCACAAATTCTTGGATGTGCCTCCTGTCACGAGGTGAAGTCTAGGTCCTCTCTCGAACCTGGGTGGGCTCTGTGACTGCTTTGACTAACAGAATATGGCAGAAGTGATGCTGTGCTTTAAGAGACTGGCAGCTTCCACTTCCTCTCTCTGGGAACACTGGCTTGCTCGTGGTACCCTAAGCTACCTTGTAAGACGTCTGACTACCCTTCTGGAGAGACCATGTGAGGAGGCCCTCAGATCACCTGGAAAGGAAGAGGGCCCTGGCTGAGCCCATCCTTCCACCTGTCCCCACCAGGGCACCAGGCATGTGAGTGCAGCTGTCCTGGGCTCTCCAGACCAGCCACTAGGTGAACACCACTGAGTGACCTTGCTCAATCCTATGTGGAGCAGAGGAATCTCCCAGCCAAGCCCTGCTTAAACTCTGACCTGTAAAACCATGACATATAACTAAATGGTTGTTGTTTTAAACCACTACGTTTTGCAGTAGCAATAGATAACCAGAATGGCTCCTTTCTCTCAACACGGTCTTCATCATTTCCCAATCATCCATGTAATTTTCAGCTTAGCTGATTTACATAAAATGAGAAGACTACAGTTGAGCCTTCATTTGAATATCCACTGCCCTTGACCCCAACCGTGGTCCTTTAACTTTAGACAGCCCTGCCCCTCTCATTCATGACCCCAACACATAAAGCTAGCCTTCCCCCACAAATGTCCAGAACACATCAAGTTCTTCTTCAGGCAAGTGTCCGAGAGACACTTCTGCCAATGACTTGTGACCATGTGTGTTCTCTGAGGCTGCGTGGGGACAGCTAGGTGCATTCAAGAGCAAGGTAGCCAAGACACCAACAGCTTGGATTCAAATCCACTGGCTAGCCCTGGGTACGTTACTAACTTCCTAAGTCTCAATTTGTCTCTCTGGAAAAGCACTTGCCTCAGGGGGTTAGTGTGGGGATTAAATGAGTTATCTATGCCAAGGGTTCAGAACAGTGCCTGGCTCTTAGCATTTACAAATATTTAATGCTACTATTATTATTATTAGAAAGTTGCCTAGACTAGAAAAAAATATGGACGTACCTGGAGGTGTGGGAGGAGGCAGGTCTTCTGCGTCTGAATCATAAAGAAAGGCAATAGGTCACTCTGTTCAGTGAATCCAAAGTGTGGAGGAGGTGGGGTAACAAGGGTGTGAGTGGGGGATGAAAAGGAGAGGACCATGGTCTTTCTGGGCACATGACCCAGAGCACCAGAACTGCATCCTGGGCAACTTCACCCCTCCTCTGCCCGGGTCTTTGGCCTCAGGGGGTGGGGCACAGCCAGTGGGTCCTCTGTCCGACAGCAGACAGGGCTGGATTACCCCTGGCTACTCTCATGCTGAATCGCCTGGACTACTTGTTAAAATGCAAATTCCAGATCCCCTTCCCAAACCTAGTTAGTCACACTCTCTGGGGGTGGGGCCCTGGATTCTGCATTGCAATGCCCCAGGTGGTGCTGGTGCACACTAACATTCGAGACCTTCTGTGTGCAACGTGGAGCTGCCATGGCAGGGCGTGTGTCAGAGCCCAGGGCTTGGTGCAGAGTAGACACTCAAGGATTGTTTGATGAACGAATAAGTGGAAGGATGGATGGACGAAAATTACATCTGGGCTGCATAGTTTCAAAATGTCTTCAACCACAACATGAGAAATTATTGCCTGAGAGGGGAGAGGGGAGAGGGGACCTGAGCAGATGACACCAGCATCCTCATGGTGGCCACAGTTGTGTTCCGATCAGCCTGAGTGGGTGCATTGGCCCAGGTAGTGCTCCACCCCAGAGCACTGGAGGTTGTCCAGGAAAATGTCTCCAGAGCCTGGGCCAAAGTGGGCCTTCCCAAGGGCAGATGTAGCCCTACCGCACCCCAGTTGTCGGCACACAACCTCGGCTTCATTCAGGTCCCATAGGTCGTCGCACACAGTGCCCTAGGCCCCCTGGTGGAGGACCTCCACGCGTCCTGAGCACTGACATGAGCCACCCACCAGCTGCAGCTCTGGCCAGTCCCCTGCGGACAGACACCTTCTGACCATTGCCCTCTGGGGACACTGCACATTTCCCCTGAGCTGGCTGAGCTCCCCACCCCACACTGCTATTGCGGATGGAGAACTTGGTAAAAGAGTCAGTCAGCTAGTCAACCTCCTAGTGGAAGGTTGATAGGTCATTAGGATTGTCAAAATAACATTTAGCCTAAAACCTCCACTAACTGAGTATCTGTTTGGTCAGAGGTATGTGCTAATATGTTTTGGTTCAATGCAGAAAAGCATTACAAATAATTTGCACAGTGATTTGCAATTTTGTGAAGTGCTTTTGTGTGTGTGTGTGTTTATCTTCACCTTTATAATAACTCAGGAAGGGAAGCAAAAGAGAATCGGTGTTCCAATTTTATCTATGAGGAAACTAAAAGTTGGAGAAGCAAAGTGATTCACCACAAACCTCACATCTGGTAAGTAGCAGATCTAACCTAGGTCTCCTGATTCCGAAGGTCACTGTTTTTCTTTGATATTCCGTCTCACTGCCTCAGAAATGGCTCTGACACTCAACTCACTTTGAAAAAGCCTATTAGTGATGCAGATGTGAAGTTAACCATGATCAGGACTGGCCATATAAAGAAAGGGTAGAACCACACTACAAGGCACTTGTAAGCTGCTCAGGGTTTGCTAACTCTGAAAGGCTCCAGAAAAATGAACTTTGCTCACCACAGGATGACAGAGCCAAAAGTTCCCAATAGCTTTGAATGACCCTGAAAAGTCTGGGTAGAGTCAACTGGCACCTTTGCAAACAGTTGAGCCACTTGTAGTTGGTCCAGTTTCTGCCCATGAAGTAGGTACAAATGCAGACACACATGCAGGTACCAAGAGGAAAGGACACCTGGGGACGAATGGACACAGTCCAGGGCTTACCTGGTCTTGCTGTGACCACCTTGGGTGTTGATGTCGGGATTGCTGTGGATATAAGACACCCTTAAATAAAAAAGGGGGGACTCAGGCAAGTCAAGATAGCAGCATTAGTCTCCACTAAGCGCCAAAATTCTGGCTGATTCATTCTCCTATCTTCTTTATAATAAGTGACCTTCCACATCAAACTCTCTTTACATGTGAGTCTTGATGTTTCTCAGGCGTGCGGGATCCAATAGACATAATATTCCCATCTTCTGCTCAGTCATTGGAATATAATACAATGACATTTAAATTGTGCTGTTCTGTGTTAATGTGCACTCACAATCAATGTCCTTCAGGGGAAGGCAGCCATTTCTTCTGTAGGCTTCTGCTTTTTGTTGTTGTTAATTTTCCCTGAATGTAGAGAGTCTGACCAAGGGTGTTTCATTGTCTTGATAAAGACAAGGAATTAGGAAGTCAAATCAACAATTCTAAATATACAGTGACCCAATTGTTGATATGTGTAACTTGGTTCCAGTGTGAATGGGCATCATACTTGTGCCAACAGTGTGCAGACAGAATCTCTCAGCTATGGTGGATTTATACAGGAAATTAGGAAACATATATGAGAGAGATCAAACTATGACATAAAAGCACCAGGAGTGGGGACAGAGGAAGAAACATGAAGGAGGAATGCAGATGAAGTAACAACAGTAAACGTGACTCACTGATTAGATTCGGAGTCCGAGAAATTGCCTCTGCAAATACAAGGAAACCATTGTTGACAACTGTTCAATCACAATCACAGTGACTTTCCCTGGTCCACTCTGTGACCCAGAGCATCTCCTCTGTGTTTTACAGCCTGTTTCCCAAGCTTGCTCAATGAGTCACCCTGCACTTGCTAAAAGTCCAGGAGACTGTTCTGAACAGCATCTTGGACAAGGTGGATGCTAGAAGAACTGTCTGTGAGCTCAGCCTCTTTTCTCTTAGTGGTAAATAGTGCAGGACCCATTACTGGGTGACCTCGGGACAATTACTGAACCTTCCAAGCCTCAGTTTCATCATCTGAAAAAGGGGAAGAACCATGGGTTTGTGTGAGGATTAGAGGAAATGAAACACGCTTGAAATGTTGCCTGGCATAAAATAGGCATTCAGTAAATGTTTGCTGTTATCTTGATCACTGTTGTTGTCATTACCCAACTTTGAGTACATGTGCTTCATCAGAAGCCCTTGGCTTAGCGTCTGCCTGCCTTCTCGCCACACACCTTGCACATCCCATCTCTGTGCCCACACTGCTCTCTCACCTGCTGTACCCTCTCCCTGTTTCTCCAGCCACAGCCAAGCCAGTTTTAAAGACAAATCTAAGGCTGTTTCCTTCTATGTTTTCCCTAATATTTGTAGCCTACATTGCTCTCTCTCTTTGCTAATGTCTTTTGCTGAGATGTTAATTTAGTATATTCTAGTATATTCTATTTGTTTGCCTTAATTTATTGTATTCTATTTGTCTTCTAATTGCTTCACATATGTTTGTCATGAACTCCCTCTAGGTTGTGTATGAGCCCCTCTTAGGCTGGGACCACACCTTCTTCTGTAGGTCCTAAAATGCCTACCTAGCACTAGACTGAGAGTAACTTTAGAAATGGCTTCCTAATGGACTGATTGCAACAAGGTGTTTACATGAAACTAAGCAGCCCATGATGCAGCTGCCAATTATGGAGCATTTATGATGGGCCACTACTGTGGTAAGGGCTTTGCTTGCATCATTTCAGATAACCCTCACAACAAACCTAGGAAGTGATGTTCTCTTATTATCTCCGTTATAAAGGGAAGGGAGTGAGGCATGGAGAGGTCAAGTCTCTTGTCCAAGGTGCTGGAGTAAGTGACAGGATCATAACTGTCCCGAAGCAGAAAGTCCAGCTCCAGAGTTCTTTCTTTAACCACCATTGTTACCTTTGGTTGCAGAATAATAATAAGCAATGAAGTTTTTTCCTCTGTTGTTGAAGCTTCGGAAGTACACGAGGGTCATTGAGCTGGAGGAGGACACGTAGGTGAGGTAGGAACCAGCGCAGGTCTTCCCCAGGGACTTTGCTGAGGATGGAGGGCCGTCCAGGATTTCAAAATATTCATTGGTGCAGTCAAGGCTGGGGAAGCAAACACCGATGGGTGCCTCTTAGTCTCCTCATCAGCAGATCTTGGAGGTATGCTGTGAGCAAACCCTTTATTTGTTTACTATAAAGAGGCCGGGGACAGATTAAAAGCCTGTGAGTTATTCAAACATAGCATGGATTCCTCTCATCCCATTTTTTCTCTCTGAGAGCCATTGCCTTAAGGGGATGGGATTTTAACTGGAAGAGGGAAGAGGAGGCTGAAGCGCTAGGTGTACCCCTGCTGAGGCCTCCAGCAGCCTGAGACTGTATGGTACCTCAAAGCCTAGGGCCAAGAGCATGCCAGGCAAATCAGGGCAATTGATCGAGGGTCCAGAAGAGGGCAGAGGCTGCTCAGCCTGCCAGTAGGACATGGCTCCATGTTCCAAACAACCTGTTTATAAGCTTTGGGCAGCTGACCTGCCTGGAGGGAAGTGTGCTAGCAAATCCGCTCAGCTTGCTTTCTGGGAGTTATCTGATTTTGTCAGCTGTTTTTCTTTGTTGTGAAGTTTTTTCCAGATGCCACTAGGGCTGGAATCAGAAAACTGATTCCAGGTCTTAGCATGATGAGCCGTCCATTCCAAGTCATAATTTGATTAAGCAAAATTCAAGAGTAACAAAGAACTTAAGTTGTTTCTGAGGGTTAATTTCCGTAAGACGTTCATCTATGAATGATGTCAACCTAACTAGTTATAGTATTAAGACCTAAAATGTCCTGATTTATTAGGTCTAGGGATCCCTGGAATCTGCATCTTTAGCCTGCAGGCTGAATACACTCTCTTTCTCTCTCTCACACACACACATACCTATCCAAAGGATATAAGGTGGATTTCATTTTAATTAAAAATTAATGGGGGGCCAGGCTGGTGGTGGAGCGGTTAAGTTCGCGCGCTCTGCTTCGGTGGCCTGGGGTTCGCAGGATTGGATTCTGGGCGAGGACCTTCTCACACTCATCAAGACATGCTGAGGTGGCATTCCACATAGAAGAGCTACAACTCTACAATTATGATACACAGCTATGTACTGGGGCTTTGGGGAGAAAAAAAAAGAAAAAGGCAGATTGGCAACAGATGTTAGTGCAGTGCCAATCTTCCTCAAAAAAAAAAAAAAGTACTTGTGTAACTGTTAAAAAAAAATTATTCGGGGGCCGGCCCTGTGGTGCAGTGGTTAAGTGTGTGCGCTCTGGCTTTGGCAGCAGCCCGGGATTCGCAGGTTCAGATCCCAGGCGCACACCGATGCACCGCTTGTCAAGCCATGCTGTGGCGGCGTCCCATATAAAGTAGAGGAAGATGGGCACGGATGTTAGCCCAGGACCAATCTTCTTCAGCAAAAAAGAAGAGTGGCAACAGATGTTAGCTCAAGGCTGATCTTCCTCACACACACGCAAAAAAATTAATGGAAGCACACAAAAATCAATCGTTATTTCTATATAATAGCAACAAATATGTGGAAACCAAAATTAAAACCACAGTATCATTTACAATCACTCTGAAAAACATGAAATACCTACATATAAATCTAAGAAAACATGTACAAGATTTGTACACTGAAAATTGCAAACCGCTGAGGTAAAAAATACCAAATGCTAGCTAGGATATGGGGAAACTGATCTCTCATGTGTTGCTGATGGGAATCTAAAATGGTGGTCACTCTGGAAAATAGTTTGTCATGTTCTTAAAAAGCTAAATGTGCACTTACCATACAACCTAGCAATTGTACTCTTGGGCATTTATCCCAGAGAAATGAAAACTTACGTTCACACAAAAACCTGTATCTGAATGTTCATAGAAGCTTTACAGATAACAGCAAGACTGGAAACAACCAAAATGTCCTTCAGTGGGGGAATGGTTAAACAAACTCTAGTATCCACAAATGGAATACTTCTCAACAATGAAAGAGAACGAACTATTGATACACACAGCAGCTTGGATGGATCTCAAGGGCATTATGCTGAGTGAAAAAAATCAATCTCAAAAGGATACATACTGTATGATTCCATTGATATTCTCGAAATGACAGAACTATAGAGATGGAGAACAGATCAGTGGTTGCAGGGGACGGGATGGGGTTGGTTTGAAGTATAAAGGGTAAATGGGTACGTCCTTTATGGTGGTGGAACAGTTCTGTATCCAAATTGTGGTGGTGGTTACATGAATCTCTACGTGGGATAAAATAGCACAGAACTACACACACCCCCCCACACACACGTACATGTAGAAAATGGTGAAAACTGAATAAGCTCTGTAGTTGAGCTAACAGTATTGTACTGATGTCAACTTCCTGATTTTGAAGTTGTTCTACAGTTATCTAAGATGACACCAATGGGGGAAGCTGGGTGAAGGGTACATGGGATTCTAAGTGTTATTTTTGTAACTTCTTGTGTGTCTATAACTATTTCAAAGTAAAAACTTAAAAAAGACATGAAGGACTCTTTTAGTTATGAGAATCAACCAAAGGAATAAATGCTTGGAATTTTAAACTACGCAGTGTACTTAAGAAACATACTTATGACCTACTCAAGATATGGAAATGCCAGCAGTATATGGTTGAAGGCGTTGGCCTTGATTTCCCACACACAGGTTACGTTGTCATGCATTTCATTCTTTGGGGGATTCCTAATCGCTCCAGATGAGTTAGTGATAATGCTGCCACACTGAGATTTTTCTAAAAGCAGAAAGATATTTTAGAATTTCAGTTTTTTTCATTGTTCAGTTTACTAATTTTGTAATTCATACTTTTTTTCTTTTTATTTCTTTCCCCAAAAGGTTTCATTTGTCATTACTTTGTGGGTATGTCTTAGGATGTATGAGAGATGTAAACTAGTCTAAAAACTCCTGCAAATTTAGAAACTTAGGGTATGAAATTGTCTGAATTTTGAAACATCTCTCACTTCTTTTGAGAAGTCCAGCATTGACACGGGCTCATTGGGCAGCGCAGTTATCCAATATTAGCGAGAATCTTTCCCTCCAGTTACTCCCTAGTGGTGGGTTCTGTAGCTTTGATTTTTGTCAGGTCACCAGTAGTAATGAGTAAACTGCTTCATTTTCCCAATTAAGGCTGAGCCCATGTGGAGCCCCTATGTATATGAAGATGGCAGTGTTCCACCCAACATCAGTTGTAATTTATTAAAATTGTACTATTAAGAATCTATTACTGGACCGGCCCTGTGGCTTAGCGGTTAAGTACGTGCGCTCCGCTACTGGTGGCCGGGATTCGGATCCTGGGCGCGCACCGACGCACTGCTTCTCCAGCCATGCTGAGGCCGCGTCCCACATACAGCAACTAGAAGGATGTGCAACTATGACATACAACTATCTACTGGGGCTTTGGGGAAAAAAGAAAAAAAAAAGGAGGAGGATTGGCAATGGATGTTAGCTCAGAGCTGGTCTTCCTCAGCAAAAAGAGGAGGATTAGCACGGATGTTAGCTCAGGGCTGATCTTCCTCACAAAAAAAAACAAAAAAAGAATCCATTACTAAGTGGCAAGAAGTTGCCCTGAGTCATCTATCCCTTCTAATACTGATATTGTTCTGTGTCCGCCTGTCCATCCACCCACCCATCTGCTTGGGATCTGCATGAGATGTTTCTCCATCTGCTTGTCTGTCTATCTATCCATCTGTTCAATATTCAGTCCACAAGTAAAGATGACACCCATGGCAATGGCTTTCTCCATCAGATTATCTGGCTGTGTAAGAATAGGACCTACACTCGACTGGCTCTGGTCATCTAGCTGTGGCTCTTCCCTAGAAGGATCAGCCAGACTCTCCAGTCATCAATACTACTTTAGCCCTTTATTTCCAAGTGGTGCTAAGAAAAGTTCAGTGGAGCTTCTGGAAGCCCAAGATATAGGCAAGAGCAGAGGGAAAAAAATGGAAAATGAAAAAGAAAGCATGGAGAAGGAGGACAGAAATTGTTAGAGAAAGGGAAAGAAGAGGAGTAAAACATGCTCATCATGGTGGAAACCCTCTGAAATGATGCCCTTGAGTAGCACCCTGGCAACACTGCTGAGTTAATAGCCACATGCCTATCCTTCACACATAGTGTCCACGCAAGGAGACCAAGAAGGCTGGCACCACTTGTTTACTTAAACTTCCTTCTTTGACTAAATAGAAATGGAATTGGAATCATAAATTCATTGGCTCTCATTATTGGTCTCTTCACTCAGAACACAGCTTCAGAGGGGTGACCCAGACAGTGCATCAGTATTTTGCTCAATTTCCTTGAAGAGTCACTTCAGAATTTGAGCTGGAATATGACGATCAGGGCAGCCAAGGACACCAAAGTTTCACCTGCAGCCATCGTCCCTGCCATGGCAGCCAAAGGGCGACCTGTCAAACACACAAAGGACACATGGATTGTCAGTGGGCACTGAGTCCACAGCCCCGTCTGCACATGAAAACTTGAGGAGCTTGTAACAAATATGCTATCTGGGCCCCTTCCAGAACTACTGAGTCAGTCTCTGGGGTTGAGGTCAGAGAATGTAGGGGATGTTAATGTGCAGGAGGGAAGAATCTCTGATCTAGAGTCTTCCCAGATCTATTTTGCATCGTTCTCTTAAATGAGATATTTTTAATTTGGGGGTTTAAGAAAACTAAAGATGTGAAATTCTGGCTCCTGTAGCCAATTCCAGTGACCCAAGAGTCGGGAATTATGAGGCTTCGATTTAAGAATAGGAAGAGGCACCAATTCACCGATTACTTTGACCTGGTGCTCCTCAGAGATGGTGAGTCAGGACCTAAGGATGCTGTGGATCCTCCTTCATGCCCCCCAACATCTCCCCTACCAGTGACACTTGGCCCAGAATCTCCCGTTGGAGAGCCCCACCTAGGACCAATCCATTCTTACATGTTAGAGTTGACAACCCAGGAGGGGATACAACTGAAGCTTTGCTAGATCATGTCCAGTCAGCTTTATTCATGACTCACTCTCTGACTGACCCAGCTTAGGGCAGGGCATCAAGGGACCTGGGGGTTTTATGAAGGAGACAGGACACTGGCATGGAAAACTCCGGGTGTTGGCATTGAGAGCATGTGGGAATACCAACAGCAACAGAAGCTCTGTGGGGCCAGAGCTGCACCAGGAACCAGGCAGAGGCAAGGAGAGGGTGGAAACAGAATTGGCCCACCTTGACTTTGTCCAGGTCTGGCCCACCAGTCATCTGCCCCTGGGCAGGAAGTGCCTTAACCACCTCTCAAATCTTGACCACCCCCTGCCCTCATATCATTGCCATCCCCTTACAACCCTCGGAACTGACAAGCCAAAAGTGCTATACAGAAGTCTGAGAAATTTAGATTCTGCTTCCTGTGTGTAAAATGCACAGAGAAGTAGGAGGAAAGGTAGAAAGTGAGGCTGGACCAGGTGATTTCTAAGGTGCTATCCCTCTTTCCCATTGGATGATCAGGTGATTCCACATCTCTCAGTCACTCCACCAGCTTGGAGAATAAGACACATCCAATTTCCAGCAGAACTTCCTCCCCAAGGTTTTGATAAGCCGCACATGGAAACATGGCCTTGCCTACCTGGTGGTGTGACCATCAAGTATTCAGCATCTGTAACTGTGAGGGATTAAAATATCTACTGTGAACAAATAACGTACTGGTTCATTTTCAATAGTTATTTTTACACTGGCTTTTGAAAAGCACTCTCTTGGAAAGAGGCAAAGCTGGGCTCTACCTGGGAAGGGAGCAGGTGTTTACCTGAACAGATCATGCTGGCATCCTTCTCGTGCCCACAGTTGTGGGAAAACCAGCCAACATGGGAGCACTCCTCCAGGTGCTGTTCATCTCCTCTGCAGTGCACATTGTCAAGGAGGATCTTTCCAGAACCATCCCCAAAACGGGCCTCACCCGGGGCTGAAACGGCTCAGCCGCACCCCATCTGCCTGTAGACGATGTTTGCTTCTGGCAGGCCCCAGAGGTCATTACATACAGTCCCCCAGACTCCTGGTAGAAAAGTTCCACAAAGTCCACGCAGCTCCCGTGGCCACCTACCAGCACACGGGGGCCCAGCCATGTGGGGAAGAACAGGTGGTAAGGGGGTGATAGCTGCCTCCTCTGTCTGTTGATGACTGGATTACTGTCTACGCGACCTAGCTTTCCCTACTTTCCAAGACTTAGCTATCCCACCCCTCACACTGTCATGACAGATCCCACGCCATTCCCCAGATGCGTCTGCTCTAAGAAGCATATAGTGTCTTCCTCGGCCACACCCTATTTTAAGACAGCTTGCCTGTGGTAGGTTATTTACAAAAATGGCCGCAGTTGTCTTCCTGATATCCTCAATCTTTGCAATGTGACATTGCAGCTCCTCCCATCAAGTGGTTGAGCTTATTTTCCTACTCCTGATTCTGGGCTGGTGGCAGAGACTTGCTTTGGCCAACAGAATGTGGCAGAAGTAATGGTGCACCCATGTGGATCTGAGGCCTCAAGAGGTCTGATGGGCTCCTGTTTACTCCAGGAACTTGGAGACAATCACGTGAATAAGCTTAAGCTAGCCTGCTGGGTGATGAAAGACACGTAACCTTGTCACCTCTGTCACCTCAGATAATAGCTATGGAACTGCAAGACATGTGAGGGAGGCCATCCTAGGCCAGGCAGTCTTCAAATGACCTGCCAGCTAGCCACAGATGCATGAGCAAGCCCGGTAAGATCAGCGAGGACCAGCCATGCCTATCCCAGATCAGCAGAACTTCCCAGCTGACTCGTAGACTCATGAGCAATTATAAATGGTTGTTGTTTTAAGACACTTTTTTGGGGGGGTGGTTTTACATGACAATAGATAACTTATACACTTCTTTTTTATCCATACCCCTACCCAAAGCCAGGAGGGGGCATGGGGCTAATGTTGTATAACCCCATGATTGGGTCTGCCTGGGCAGATAAATGGGCTGGAGTATACATCTGACTCCAAAGGAACCAATCCATGAGCAGGATTGGGCCAAATTCTCCCCTGGCTATTTAGAACTGGGAAGAGAGCTGGAAGGTCACTTGGATGCGGGGTCTGATGCTTCCACTTGGGGCAGCCATGATGAATCATGTGTGAGTGGGTAATTAGCTAGAGAAACTACTCAGGATAATGGTGCATGAGAGGAAAAAAGATGGAGAAAGAAGATCCAGAGTGTGAGAGCACGGCTCTATGGCAGCTCAATTCCTTTCTTGTTTGTACTCCTTCAACTGAGTTCTCCCCCGGGTCTGAGGGTGCAGAAAGAGCATGATGGGGCCTCTTTCATGGCACAGACCACTTTCTTCTTACATTATATTCTGTGTACAGGACTTGTCTCCCTACTAAACTGCAAACTCTCTGAGAATTGGGACTGTGTCCAAGTCATCTATGTGCCCACCATACAACCTGGTTCAGTGCTCAGCACATAGTAGGTAAGCAAGATAAAAAGTTATTAAACGAATGAAGCAAAGAAAGATATGGAGCATGAATTCAGGCAATTGAAACTCACAGAGTCAACAATGGTAATCGGCACACTCCAAAGGCCATGGCCAACGCCCAGGAGCTACAGCACCTGCCAGGCAGTCTCCCACTAGGGAAGCTCTCAGACCCTGGGGCAGTGACAATGGCTCCTCTAGGTCTTCCCTGAATCTTTTGGCTGTACAGCTAGATTAAGGGAATCAGGGGTCCAATGTTGTACTCCTGACTTATCTGGCGTCAAATTGGACCTAATTCATAAAAAAACAAAATCCAACTCAAGGCTGAATATCCTGAAATATTACTCATCCCTGATCACAGCAAAAAGCCATCTTAAAGAGCCACCTCGCTCTTCACTAGCTCTGTATGGTTAATGGCCAGCCCTATGTTCTAATTCGCAAAGCATATTAGTGTCTCCCACCCTACAGCCCATAGGGATCCTAACTACCTGATTTCTCCCCTGCCTGGGACAATCCCACTGCCCCATCACCCTTCAGGTCCTGGCTTAGATATTATTTCCTCCTGCCCTCACCCCTCGGGGCTGGATGGAGACTCTCTTCTGGAAGCCCATGGTACCCTGTGCTCCCCTATCATAGCATTCACCACACTCTGTTGTAACACGCCCATCCCCCACAGCAGTGGCCTTAGACTACATGAGGGTCTGCTTTGTTTATTGCTATGTTATCCCAAGTGACACTATATATCCTCAGTGACACATACTCATTCACTCATTCATTGTCAAATGAACAAAGTTGTTCAGGAGACATGATATAAAAAGAACCAGCCTTACCTGGAGGTGCAGAAGGAGGTGGGTATTGAGCCATTGACATCACTGATGATGGGGGGAGTAGGTTCTCACGGGCTGTTGATGGGTAAAAAGTAAGGACTGTCAACAGGGAACAGTCAGAACACTGGGAGAAGATGCACAGTTGCTTCAAGGGAGTGCCTGCCGCCTGCCAGGATTCAATGGGAATAATGACGACACTGCATTCTAAGGCCAGTCACCTCATATCCCCAAGATCTCCATTTAGGGCAGAACATGACATTGCTGCCTGTTGACTAACAGGCACCACGTGGCCATTAGCAAAAGCAAGCTTGTGGGCAATTAGTCCCAAGTGGCCTGCTGTATGAGAGGTCATCAGTTGGCCGTCATCTCTCTCTTTGCTGCCCTCTCCCCAAGTGTGTTGTGACTTCACCTGAACAAAGCGAGGAAAGTCACACAGCAGTTCTTTGGGGTGGGCAGGGGGGAGGGTGTCAACTCTGCAACAGCATGAGGAAACCTTTGAGGGAGGGAACTGTTCTATCATGCATGTAGCAGGAATCTCACAACTGTCTACAATTACCAAAATTTACCAAACTGAACCTTAAAATGGGTGAATTTTATGGTACGTAAATCAAACCTTAATAAAATATAAGATGGGTTGATGGATGAATAGAGGAATGATAGATAGATTGATACATTTATCACAGAATCTAGGTAGGAGTTCATTGTTAAATTCTTCAAACTTTGCTGTATATTTAAAATTTCTCAGGGGGTCTGGCCGGTGGTGCAAGGGGTTAAGTGCGTGCTCTCCGCTGCGGTGGCCCGGGGTTCGCCGGTTCGGATCCCAGGTGTGCACCGACGCACTGCTTGTCGAGCCATGCTGTGGCGGTGACCCATATAAAGTAGAGGAAGATGGGCATGGATGTTAGCTCAGGGCCAGTCTTCCTCAGAAAAAAGAGGAGGATTGGCATGAGATGTTAGCTCAGGACTGATTTTCCTCAAAAAAAAAAAAAAATTTCTCATAATAAATGTTGGATGAAAAAGTGTCCCTCAGTTTCTACTACAAGACAAACATCGCTGTTTTTCGAAGGCAACCTCCTGCTTCCCATAGTGGCAAATACTTAATTCAGCCAGGCCACGTGGCTGCTTATTCTCTCCTTGGTAGTCAAAGGCATAGAATTTTAGGGAGCATAGGCTCCAACGTGCCTGCTCTAATGACATGAAGACTGAGGGCCAAGGTCATTCAGCTGGTGCGAGGCCAGCCAGAATCAGATTCCTATAGCTCAGGGCTCTTTCCATCCCCCACGCCACCTTCCTTAGGTTGGCATGTGACTGAAGGAAGGAACCACTGCTGTGTGTGTGCCTGCCAGGTGCCGGGTGACATTAGGCACTGACAAATTCACAAATTCACCATCAAATTCTCGTCCTTATTTAATTCTCTGTATTATTCTTACTTTAATGAAGAGAATCGAGATGAAATGGGATTAAGAGATGATATAACTTGGCAGAAGTCACATAACTGAGGGTAATCATATATCATGTCTGTCTCTCCTATTAGGGTACAAACCCCATGAAAGAAGAGACCAAGGGGGTTCTGATCACTGCTGTAGACCCGGCGTTTGTTGGCAGAGTTTCAGTCAATATCTGTGGAATGAATGGTGGAGGGAATGAGTGAAGCTGGGAATCAAACCAGAATCTGAGTCTAAACCTCATGATGTTTTTCACATCATGCCGAGTCCAGTAGGTGACGCGGAATGTAACACGGGTCCTACCTGTAGGCAGAGCGGCTGTGGAATCAGCACCTGTCAATGTGAAGAGAGATCAGCATGTTAGCGTGTCTTCCTTGGTGAATGTTTACTGGGAACGTCCTACATTCAGGGGGCTGTGGAAGCAGAAAGAGGCAGAGACCCTGCCCTTAAGGAGCTTGGCATTTCCTGGGGATTTGAGACACGAGACCAGGCAGCAAATGTTGAGTGTCCCAGGGAAGCTTCAGGAGTCAGTGCTTTCCAGGGCCTTAGGTGTTGAGGGGGAGCTGCTCAGGATGGGCCAGGTGCAGCCTCGCAGAGCCTTTCATTCACAGAGACATTTTTTATTTTTTTTTTCCAGCTGCCAGTGGAGAGAAGCAGGAAAACCCTGGGAATACTGTGGGGTGGAGAGTCAACCAGAGGGGCACATAGGTTTGGGAAGGTCACCAGGCCCAGACATGGAGGGTGTGAAATGCCAGCTGACAGATTTGGCCTGTCACCCAGAGGTCACAAACTCAAAAGTTTCCGAGGGCCATGGGGGTTAGACAAACAAGGGATTGGAGTGATGGGGACAGTGTGGACTAGAGAGCTGTTCTGCGGCCAAATGGGCAGCCTTTGCTCAGATCTAGCCAGTTAATGTAATAAAAGAATTTGTTGTTTTGAGCCTGAACTTCTGCTTTTTCACAAAATGTGAGAATTTGGGTTTTTATGCCAAATACTCTGATCCAGCTGAATTCAAGTTCAGCCTGAATTTTCAAACTAAACAAGCCACTTCTGAGCCTGGATCCAGCCTGTGAGCCACACTTAGCAATCTTTGCAGTCAAGAGGATGGCACCAAGTTATCGCCTTGATGCATAACTTTGAAAGGGTGTTGACAATACCGGTTGCCCGCCTGGATCCACTGACACTCCTAGACTGCGCTGTGTGTGTGTGTGGGTGTGTGTGTGTGTGTGGAGGGGTGAGTAGTGAAGGGATAGGAATACCCCTCCAAATGAGGACTGATAGCCCCTCACTTGCACAGATGACACCAGTGTCCTGTAGGTGCCCACAGTTGTGCCCGGCCTCGCCCCTCTGCACACACTGCCCCAGGTGGCTCTCGCTGCCCACACACTGCACATCATCAAGCACGATCTTCCCAGAGCCTGCCCTAAAGTGGGCCCCTGTGGGGGCCACCACAGCCTGGCCACACTGCAGCTGGTGGCACACGACAGTGGCCTCGGCCGGGTCCCAGAGGTCATCACACACGGTCCCCCACGTGCCCTGGACGAGAACCTCCACGCGGCCTGAGCACCTCCCTGTGCTGTTCACCAGCCTCACGGCCATCCAGGCTCCTGGGAGGCACAAAGCAGTGGGAAATTGTGAGACTGACCTTGTGTCAGGAGATTGCCTTGGTCCTGTTATATATGGCGAATATACTGCTGATGTCATAATATTTGTGTCTTCCATATGACATTATTATTTCAGAGTAATAATAACAATAGTAAATGCTACTACTCACATTTTGTGAGTGCCATTCCAGGTGCCATCCCGAGTACTTTACAAGCTTGATCTTATTTGACCATTACAATAACTCTCTTGTTGGTTCTACTATCTTCATTTTGCAGATAAAGAAACTGACTCTCGGAAAGGCCAAGGTAACTTTCTCAGGCTCAAGTGGCCATCTGAACTTTGCACCCGGGGAGGCAGTCTGCTTCAGTGTTCTATACTGCTTTCTAAGGCCAGTGAGCTTGGTGAGATTCTCTGCCCTGACGTAACCCCTCTCCCTCCCCCTCTCAGACTGAGCCCTGTGCCTCTTGCTTTGGAGAAGTGATATGCAGAGTAAGGAGCTATTGTAGCCTGTGGGGTGCCCTGGCTTTTGTTTTCAAAGCCTGAGACCCAGAAGAGAATAGTTTGAGGGAGAGAGGGCTTACTCTAGTCTGCGCGCTAAAGGGGCGTTCCCTCTGGGTTGGGCAGACAGAGAGATCTATGGGTCTTGGAACACCAGAGCTGGACCTCCTACTTCCTGGAGGTGCCTCAAGAGGCTGGACAACCGCAGGGAGCAGCTGCAGCTCACTCCCAGAGAGGGAAGTCCAGAGGCCCTGGGTTCTTAACCTTACACGCGCCCCTTCATCCCACCTTGCAGAGGACCCTTGACCCGAGGGGCGTGTGGACGGGGCCCTGCTACAGCCGTGCTTTGGGGGACAGCTGAACAGAGTCTCCCTGAGGAGGTCGCCAGCGTGGCGTGACAGACTGGAGACCACAGAGCACTCTTTCCAGCACTAAAGACATTTGTTTTCTTTGCTGCCAGCATAGTTGCACTTTTAACCATAGAATGTTCACTTAATGCCTATTATGTGCAAAGCTCCATAAGGTAGAGTCTACGCCTCAGGATTTACAGTCAGGGATAGGACGGAAAAACCACAGACATTTACACAGTCGGGCAAATACGAGGAATACCTCAGTGGGGATTCTGATAGCATTCCTGGTGACAGACACTTCGTCCACTTTGGGAGGTCAGTTCATGAAGAACTGGCTTTGAAACAAGAAAACGTTTCTGCAGGTTAACCATGAGGGAAGGGAGTTCATCCCAGGCAGAGTGAAGGGAAGGGCAAGATCACGCAAGAGGAAAACCTGTGGGGACGTCAATGAAATGCAATTTGATTAAATGCATTTATTTCCTCTCCTTCCTAAAGCATGCCAAAAGAATTAAAATGTTTTAATCCACAGGAGAAAAAGAATGGGAGGAGAAGTAAGAACTGATGGGAAATTCCAACACATCCTTTTCAGAAGTTAGAGAGCAGACAGAGGTGGGGTGAGGTGTCAGCAGAGTGTTAAACTGACGCTCTGAGGTCCCAGGCGGGAGGTGGACGCTGACAGAAGTGAGCTGACTCAGCCCAGAGAAACTTGGGGAAGGGATGGGTGTGGAGGAACAAGATGATCTACAGCCAACGTAGGAGGGGGGTGCTGGCTGAGAAGGGGATCGCCGTATTTTCTAAGATTTCTGCAAAATCTCTTGCGTTCCACAAGCTCTTCTAGAACCTTGACAGTCCCATGTTGGAAGGTGGAGTCTCTGCACCGTACCTTCGAACCTGGGCAGGCCTGTGTGACTGTCCTGACCCACGGAGTATGGCACAAGTCATGCTAAATACTTCTGAGCCCAGGAAGCGCCACACACTTGTGCTTTGTTCCCTGGGGTGCTCACTCCTGGAACCCGGCCCCCACACTGGGAGAAAGGCCAGGCCACACGCAGATGCTGAAGTCTGAGTTTGTTTTCTCAGTTTGTTTACGTTTCTCTAGGTCAGTTCTCTGACTTGAGCAGAATGCAAGTATTTGTTGATGACAATGATGGTGACAGTTATTACAAAGCTAACATTTGTCTGGCACTCACTGAGTGATTTACTCTTTCAACTCCTTTATCCCTCACCACAGCCCTGATATCTGCATCTATATATCTATATGTGCATATATATATGTGTGGATAATAATAACAGTATATATTCTTCTATACATGTAATATTGTAGGTGAGGAAGTTAAGGCACAAAGCAGTTGAGTAACTGAGATCACACAGTTCTGGGGAGCAAGTATTAAAAATTAGGAAATCTGGTTCCATAGTCCATGCAAGAAATCTTAGTAAGATTTACAGGAGAAAGCAAAACAAGACAAAAACTGGAGAGAGATCCCAGAAGAATCAGAATAATATTTTGTGGGTATAGAACGGAGGTAGTGCATAGAAGTTGCAAGAGGAATGCTGCATTATAGTGTAAGTTGGTGTGGACTGTGTAATTTTTAATGCATGTGCATTAACACTGTGATGAAAGGAAGGGAGGAGGGAAGGGAAGAAGGAAGGAAGGGGCCCTGTTACACCACGGCATTAACAACGTAAGAACCTGGGCCCAATTTTACAAATGAGCCTCTGTTTCAATAGTCAGGAAGACAATTTTTTTTCACCTAAATTTGTTTAGAATTATTCATAGTAGCACATGTAGGAATCCAATAATTTAGAATTCACCTTTCCCAAACGTGTATTAGACCAAATACCAGTCTTAAGAGATGCTTCATGGGGGCTGGCCTGGTGGCGCAAGCGGTTAAGTGTGCGTGCTCCACTGCAGCTGCCCAGGGTTCGCGGGTTCGGATCCAGGGTGGGCACCGACGCACTGCTTGCTAAGCCATGCTGTGGCAGCGTCGCATATAAAGTAGAGGAAGATGGGCACGGATGTTAGCCCAGGGCCAGTCTTCCTCGGCAAGTAAAAAAAAAAAAGTAGGAGGATTGGTAGATGTTAACACAGGGCTGATCTCCTCACAAAAAAAAAAAAAAAAAAAGAGAGACGCTTCATGAAAAATGAAAATATTCTCTGGTCAGATAAAATTTTGGGTACTGATGGCTACTTAACCCCTTTTTGAAATCCACAAGATCTTTCACAGAGTAAAATCCCTTAGAAGTGCTGTGGTAAAACTACAACAGAACTAAAACTTGTCCCACTAGTTTATCTTAAGTTTCTGATATTCAAAAAAAGAACCGTTGTTTGAGTGCATATCAACGTCACAATCTTGAGGAACTCAGACTCCACACGACACATTCTAGGAAACACTGACATCCTAACAACAGAACCAAAACAAAATGTTTCTTAGAAATAATGACTAACGCTCTTACTTTTCTGTTCTTATCTTTAGGAATAAGTTACATTTTATTTTGAAACATTTAAGCATGAAAATATATGCAGGATATAAAGTAGCAACTTATATTTAAAAGATTATATTATTAGACATATGAGTGTAGGCTAATCTAGAGCTAATAACTCAGCAGCTAAAGTAAAAAGAGAAATAACAAAACATCAAACAAAAAGCAATTGAGTGAAAAGAAAGTGATGTCTTATTCTTATAAGAAAAATCTGCTGAGGGGCCGGCCCGTCGGCATAGGGGTAAAGTGTTCGTGCTCCACGGCAGTGGTTTGGAACCCTGGCCCGCACCGACACACCGCTTGTCAAGCCATGCTGTGGCGGGGTCCCATATAAAGTGGAGGAAGATGGGCGCGGATGTTAGCCCAGGGCCAGTCTTCCTCAGCAAAAAGAGGAGGATTGGCGACTAATGTTAGCTCAGGGCTGATCTTCCTCACACACACAAACAAATATTCTGAGTTGGTTTTGGGAAAGGGGGTGCTGATCATTTAATGCAGGAATTTACTAAGGGGTTAATGCATTTCCATCATATAGAATTTTTATAATAAACTTTAATTTACTAGAGATGAAGATCTGTTTCTATAGATGCAAAACATGTACACTCACATTCTTTTTGGCAAAATTTTTTCTTTTGTTTTCTGTTCCTCGTTATGTGTCGAATTACTCAGATCTGCCCTTTTCCTTCACTGCCGACTGAAAGAATTCTCACAGCCCCTCACTGCTGCTGAGGAAAATCTCAGCAAAGTAAAAAGGCAGAAAACATCCTTTTCAGTGTAGATACTGAAAAACAGATACTATTTTGCATCATAAAGCTGCCTTGCAAATGTAATTTTTATTAAAGGAGAAATAATCTCAGAGATTATTTCTGTCTAATGAAAGTAAACTTTGAAGGGTCTGTAATTCTGATGGTTGCTTTATTTAGTAATTTGTTGCCCTGGCCATAATATTTATATTGACATTCTACATTTCAGAATGTACTAGAAACACTGGAGAGGTTTCTTTGTTAAGCCAACGGTGATTTTTGGCATGTCCTATTTCCCTGTGTGGAAGGGGTAAGAAGCAAAACCCAATGCTCTGCTGGATTTCTTATTTAAACAAAAAGATTGAGAGTCTGTGTCTCATTGCATTAATAGTTCTCTAGCTTACAAAATAGGAGTAGAAATACAATATAATACAGCATAACACAATATAAATAATATAAGTAGTTATATTTATCTATCTAACACACAGGTTCTTTTGAGATCAAATTAGAAAATATATGTGGGTAAAACTGTGTCACAAATGTGAGTTGTTATCATAACCACAAGGAGACTATGCTCAGAAGAGACGATGAGGAGCCTGCCAGGGAGGTTCTAGGTCAAGGTCCCCTTTAGAGGCCCAAATTCTCCCAGGCGGTCCGCATCCACTCCATGGACACCCCTCCTCCCCACCATCTTTCAGGAAAAGCATGAAAATATCCTGACTGTCACCTACCGTCAACCCCGTCCCACCAGGCACTGTGTGTACTGTTCCCCAAAAGGTGAACCTCTCTTCTCAACAAGGCTCCTGTGAACAACTTTTGTCCAAAAATGGCCGTGCACCATTGCCGAGAACAGGCGGACTGGCCTATTGAGCCCCACTCAAAGGAGAACATTGACTAGGATGGCTCTCGCCACAGCTGGTCGATTCTGAC